AAGTTAGTTATGATCGCTATGAACATTTTATAATAATTGTAAACGGTTGGTATATTTTAAAATGATCATAACTCGCTTTGAAATTAAAATATACAAAAAAAAACCTATAGAATATTCATTAGATAATATTCTAACTTCTAATTTTTTTAATAGGTCAATCACTCTAAAATTAAACACACATCGAACAATTTTCGTCGACTAGTTTCAACAGTGTGCTGCCGTTAGTTTTGATAGGTGCTAGAGTGAAATGACCTATTATCAAAGTTTTAGATAAGAATATTATAATATAATATGTGCAGCTTAATCGTCGGCTTTTATTCGACAGTTTAATTTTCAATCGAGATATGAGAATTTTTAATATTTCACAACCCAAATCTTGCTTGAAAATGAAAATACCGAAAAATTTCCGATAAGCATAGATAATGTTATTACACCTAAAAGTTTGATAATAGCTCAATTCACTCTAATATCAAGGGTCTCTGTAATTGTATCCAATTTGAATTTTTTATGTAAATTTCAGCCGGGTATATTTTATATAGTGTTTGAAGTATGTGAAATATTTCATGAAATATTTCAAATGAAATATTTCATGAAATATTTCAAATGAAATATTTCATTTTGAAATATTTCACTAAGTTGTGAAATATTTCACAAAAACGTGAAACATTGAAATTTTTTTAACACAAATAAAAACACAATTTATTTATTTTTTTAACACAATGTTCAGTGTTCTAAATTCTAATGTCAGAATTCAGTAAGTATAAAATATACATGTATAATATTGTATACCTACTTATATCATTTAAACATTAAAATATTTAAAAATTTTGAATACCAATTTAAATGTATAATACCAAAGGTTAGGTATACATACAGGTACCATATTATAGTGATGAAGGTAATTTATGACAATTATATGTAAATATAAAACTTATTTAAAAATAAAACAAAATCTATTAAAATACTGAAATATTTCACATATTTTGAAATATTTCATGAAATATTTCACGAAATATTTCATTTTTTTAAATTTCATGAAATTTTCAAACACTAATTTTATACATACTTGAATTGCTGCTGGGTATAATTTTGAACTCATTTCCACCTAAATAGTTTTTATGCATACGTAAATTACGTCTATGCCTTTTTAGATTCTGAGTGGAACGATGAATGTATTGATTTTACAATGACGTGTGTTTTTTTTTTTTTTAAAATATTTTTGTGTCTGTGTACGCGATAAGTAGCCGAAATAATGCTTCGATTTTCAACTTCAGTATCTTGTTCGATGGGAAAGTGAATATTGTTGGTGTATTAGGGAGGTCAAATTTTAAAATTCCCAATAGTTTTCAAAAGCGCAAAATAAAAATTAAGGAAAAACGGGAATTGTAAGGCAAAATCGGTTTACCACAAAATCGATTTTGATTTTTGGTGTAACTCTAAAATAAATGAACGTATATATACATGACATTTTCACTGGTCTTTTATATTTGCATTTTCTATACACTATAAAATTTTCAAAATATTTTGAATTGTTTTGAGCTTAAGGCCAACAAGTGTAAAAATTTAATATAAAGCTCCTGTGATGTTGTAACAATGACGTTTGAAAAATATTAAAAATCCTTAGTCACAGTTTTTTTTTATAAGCATTCAAAGATTAAATTTTGACAAAATTTATCAAATTTAAAATTGAATAATTTTTTTGTAGTTAAAAGGATTGAAAATTTAAAACAAGATTCCATGTAAGTTCTGTTACCAAAAAATCCAAAAATTACACAATCACAGTTTATTTTTAGTCATTTTAAGTTCAAATTTGGAAGAAATTACATATTAAAAACCTAGAATAACTATTTTAGTTATTTTGATGTGATTGTATAATACATTATTCGTGGGTACTTGAAACTTCTAAAGTTTACTATTTTATATCTATGAAAGTATCACGGTTTGTTGTTGATGTATAACGCGTTATAAGTACCTAATTGATATTGTGATAAGATTAATTTGGAATTTATCATAGGTCAATTTTTTTTTAATACCATAGATATGTATATAATATATTAATATGTCTTATACCTAGACTGACATATAGTCTCCGCTCAGAATCGTTTTTCTTATACAATTATATTATATAATTGAATTCGAATTTAATACCATCCATTATATAGTGACCCACTTTTAACCTACTGTACAGCAGTGCACTTTTTCTTGTGCTAAATCATTATTTTCCTTCCCAATTTTCAGACTTAGGAACTGGCCATATATTTATATTGGTGTGGATATAAAAGTATTGATTTTGCTGTTTTTTGTTTATAATTAAAAATATATTATTAGCAATTAGTAATAATGTATCTGTAAGAATGTGTGTGGTAAAAAAATGTGTCATTATAAAATTGTAATTAAGAAACTGTTAAGGTACTTTGTAAGACGGGAACCAAAAATGCATTGGGTGCGTCCTCTTAATAGAATTTCTATTTTCCAAAAATGTCTTTATTCTTATTTAGGAACAAATCGATTTTTAATTTCCAACAAAATACCTGTCTATTATATTACTGAATACCGAAACACATAGCGATATCAATAAATAACGATAGGTATTAAAAATATATTTGATTAATATAATATACGTTTATTAATATTAGAATATATCGTCTCCCATTTTAGTTTTATGCCACAAAGTTATTTGCTATTATATCGATGTTGCCCAGACAACAATTTTTTGTATAATAATATTATTATAACATCATATTAGCGAATAATATTAGTATAACGTTATTATAATACTAATTGACGCAGCAATAATTTCATTACATTTTACTTAACCTAACGCAATTGCAACAAAATTACTTTTGAAAAGTAATTTCTGTGAAGTAACGCAATAACGCGTTATTTTCCACGTTATTAAAATAATAGTTTTGAATGTATTACAAAATCAAGCTGATAGGATATCCCAGAAAAATTAAAATCAATTATATTTATTTTTGATTCCGATAATAGACAATATTAGGTACTAAACCTACCAGGAACAAATGTTATCACTTTATTAGCAAAAAGAAAAGAGTTCGGTTTAAAAATAAAATTTAATAAAAATTAATTATTATTTATGACTATTATGACTCTTATATAGGTGAGACGATTGTACATTTGTACATAATACTATAAAATAGGTCTATTATCACTAGGTCTATAATTGTAAAATATGTACATAATAATTGTATCATATGAATCGAAAATGGTTAGAAAAAAAAAAATAAAAATAAAGTAACGTTACTTGTAACTCACTACTTTATTGATGAAAAAGTGATGTAACTTGGTAAAAATAATTTTAGGTAACGCAAATGTAATTTGAATAAAAATATTTGATGTAACGAGTAACGTAATTTCATTACTTTTTGAAATTAATTTACCCAACACTGCTTGAATCGAATAATTTTAAATATCTCTTTTGGTACCAATACTCAAAATGTGTATACATATGGTTAAAAAATGTATTATTACAAATTTATAATTAAGAAACTGGTAAAAATGCCGTACATGTGTAAGACGGAAACAAAAAATGCATTGGGTAACGTCCTCTTAGTAGCATATTTTATATTTTACAAAAATGTCTTTATTCTTATTTAGGTAGGTACAAACTTGTTTTGATTTATACCAAAATATCTGTCCGTTGTATTACTGAATACCGCAACACATAGAGTAATAATAGGTATCAAAATATTTGATTAATATATATATAATTATAGTAATATACATTTATTAATATTAGAATTATTGTCTCCCTTTTTAGTTTTATGCCACAAAGTTATTGCTATAATATTATATCGATGTTGGTATACCTACTTGAATCGAACAATTTTAAGTATCGCTTTTGGTACCCATACTCAAATGTGTATACCTATGGTTAAAAAATGTATTATTACAAATTTGTAATTAAGAAACTGGTAAAAATGCCGTACGTGTGTAAGAAGGAAACAAAAAATGCATTGGGTAGCGTCCTCTTAATAGCATATTTTATATTTTGCAAAAATGTCTTTATTCTTCTTTAGGTAGGTACAAACTTTTTTCGATTTATAACAAAATACCTGTCCGTTGTATTACTGAATACCGCAACACATAGAGTAATAATAGGTATCGAAATATTTGATTAATATATATTATAATAATAATACACATTTATTAATATTAGAATTATTGTCTCCCTTTTTAGTTTTATGCCACAAAGTTATTGCTATAATATTATATCGATGTTGGTATACCTACTTGAATCGAACAATTTTAAATATCTCTTTTGGTACCCGTATTTGAAAAAAAACGGGATTCTATAATATTATGGTTAGCTGACAAAACGTACAGAAAACCGATTACAAAAATACGCCCCTCACGACGACGTGTCCATAATAATAATAATAGTTTCGTTTAAAGGATCCTGCCTTGACGAATTATAAACCGGCTTGCCCCACCCCAATTGAGCCGTTGGCCACCAGGTGAAAATAAAACCAGTCGGGCCGAAGGAACACCACTGGATTCATTTTGGTCCTGAGTATTCGAAGGGTAAGACTTGTTCAGCAGATAATCATTTCCAGTCATTACAGATCACCGTCCGTATCAATCATCGGTAAGTAACACAATCATTTGTTATACTTTGTCGAGTTATTATAACTGTTAGTTTTATTAGCTTATGAGTTTTGTTAACGTCTCAACGTATACTAAATTAAATTGTTGGTCGTCAACAATGATGTTATTATTTATTTACAAAAATAAAATCGACCGTATCGTTTCGACATAATATCCTAAACCGTTTTCAAACCACATCGATCGGTAAATCGGTTTTAAATTTACAATTTTAAAGATTTACGTAACTCAATTGCTATATTTAATTTAATATGATCTTAGTAGGTAAAAATAATTTTTAACAGTTTATTATAATATTGAGGCGTGGAAACTCATAAGCGATACAATAAAAAGCACTTCTAATTAATAATATTATATACCATATTTTTACAGATATGCTGAAGTTATTCTTCTTAATCGGTAAGTACCATTTTATCAAAATATATCTATACCTACACCTTATTATTATTTTTATCAAACACGACCATATTATAGGTATATGGTCAAATTTGAAATTTCTTTTCTCGTGCGTCTAAAATGTTATATACTTATATATCGTTATTATACTTGTTACAGCTACATTGGCGACCTTGGCTCAATCTCAGATTGCGGTCGAATGGGTGTGCCATGAGCCCAAAATAATGGGAAACTGCACTAGAGTACCCAGGATTACAGACTTGCTCCAAATATTTTCGCAAAGCAGCGACGATGGCGAGTATGGCGATTTACACTATTGCCCGTAAGTATAAATTCGAACAGTAATAAGAATAATACCTACCTCGTACAATATATAAATTCATAAAAAATTCGGAGACGGGGAATTTATTGTAATAAATGAACTAGAATTAGTTAAGTTGGATCGATCTTGAGGACATTGGTATGATCAGAAGTTAGTAGTTAGGTTTATGTAAACATCTTGTAAATTTTCATGGGAGTTGGTACCAAAAAACTTACGATACCTATATGTTCTATTAGTTTTAATGTCGGGGTTGGCATTTTTTTTTCAATGCTATTTAGATAAAACTATGTTTATATAGGTAGCTTAAGTCATTGGTGACGATTTATGAGTATCACATAATATGAATATGATATACGTATATTATATTATTATTATTATCTATTATATTCATATCATAATATTATTATTATTATTATTATCATCTATTATATTCATATCATATTATTATTATTATTATATCATATATTCATATCATATCATTATCATATTATTATATTCATATATGTGATACTTATAAATCGTAAATCGTAAATCTATAGATAACTAGCAGAAGCATCAATAATGTAACATAAAATGAAACAATGCACTAATACATGTAGGGTTGCTTTGTATATATGCCACTGAACTGTATACTATGGAACGCGCATTGGGAAAAAAAACTGTCCCACCCTAGTAGTCTGCCATTTTGATTCTTCTCTTAGAATATACAATAAAAATTATCTGCGAAATATGCGATCCACCTGTATATCACTGATATTTCGTAGAAGATAAGCTAATAAAATAATTCTATCAATGACAAATCATCGTTAGCAACACTAACGGAATCAAAATGGCGGCCCTCGATATAGGGACACTTTTCAATACATGAATTATATACAATGCGCCTTCCATATATAGAGTTCAGTGCAGTGGTGTCATTTCAGTTTTTGAGAGGGGGGGGGGTGGCAAATTGTTTGACCGGCCCAAAATAAAACTGAAAAAATACCGCTCTCTAACAATTGCATTACATAACATAACAATTGCATTTTTATCTCAATACAAATAGCCTTCTTATATAATTTCATATTTACTAGTTAGTAAACATAAGTATCCCATGGTTGAAATATACAAGGTTATTGCATATAATATACCCCTTCTCAATCAAATATATTATACTAAAAACAAAAATGGCAGCGTAAAGGGAGCCAATAATAATCAAGTATGTATGTTCGGAATTTTGTATTTGTTAGCTTTTGTCAGCGTATTTTTGATGATAAGAAATATTGATATTTGTGATATCCCTTTACTCAGCCATTTTGTTTCTGATGATAACAATTCGAGTCGATATGCAATAACCAATATATTTCAACCATGAGCAAGGACTAAGATATACAGGACTGGACACGAGATGAATATTGTGGTTACGAAATGTAGTACAACAGGCGGAGTCCGGGGGGAAGTTTTCCTTTTAGCATAACCAGCGCCGTCTTTGTGGATACTTCTGGAACTAGAAGACATCATACAAATTTCTAGTTCCATAAGCATCCACTAAGACAGCTCTAGTTATGCTAAAAGGAAAACATCCCCCCGAACTCCGCCTGTTGTACTACATATCATGGTCAAACCCCCACACCCTTCAACCTTGTCGTGACCAGTCCTGTATATCTAAGACCACGAGTAACCAACTTTTTGAGAAATAACAATAACTAAATAATTAATACATAATATGTAGAGGGATACTTAAATATATTACCTATTAGCTACTATATGAAGGCCCAAAACTAGACCATACCCGGCCCGACAGCGGCCCGCTCATGACAAGGGGGGATAAATGTCCACCCTGCCATCCCCCCCCCAAAAAAAAAAAATAAAAAAAATAAGACCACTGTAGTATAGTTATGTAGTAGTGTGTCACTATAAAATGCAGCCGTTTTAACTCTTGTTACAGCAGTGGCACGGCCAAATTATAATAAAATTGTTACACGATGCAATTGCTACTGTCGTCTGAGAATCATTTTCACTCGTCTTTGCTTTGTAGTGTCAGTTACACTATATGCGTAGTGCCCCCTATTATATTACTTACTAGCTGATCCCGTGCACTTAGTTTCCCGTTAAATGTACCAACTCTACATGACTCAAACTTTGTTCAATTCGTTATTTAATATTCGGTGTATGGTGTTCAAAATTTATCTTAACCCTTCTGTTGCCTGAGATAAAAATTCTGATTCGCAGCAGTAAGTTATCAGGTAGGAAATTTACCTGCGGTAGATCGCGGACCACGTGCTGTTTGTACCTAACTTTATAATTTAACTCTAAAGTATCAAATAGTTATACCAAAGCGAATGTCACTGAACTCCTCCTAAACGGCTGGACTAATTGTGGTCAATTGCCGAGTCTGTCGACCAATATCTCCTCCTCGTCCACGAATACGTGGCATTGTTTTATGTACGTAACTTATATGTGAGTATAATACGCTCAATATTTACGAAATCGCGATACATATAATATCAAAACACAGCGTACGAAAAAATTAAATGCATTGAATGAATACACTGATTTCACGGCAAACAATAATTATTATTATAATAGCTTTAAAACCAATGGCGACCATTTATAAACAAACATTGCCACCGTAAATCTCTAAATCCTCGTTTGAGCACATGCCCTGGTTAGATCTAGGGGGGAGATTTTTAGCCTACGTGTTATTCCGATGTCTAAGCTATATCATTGTAAAGTTTCATTAAAATCCATTAGTAGTTTTTAAGTGAAAGAGTAACCAACATACTTACATACTTTCTCGTCGTTTAGTAGGATAATACTTCTATATTATAATATGTACAAATACCTACCTCGGGGGCGGACTGGGTTACAGGCCGACCAGCAGTTTTTACATATTATCGGGCCTTCTGCAGAGAGATGCGCTTAAAGGCCACAATAAATCTGAGTACAAAAAGATCGGCCATCCGAGCCAGACCGCCCCTGACCTATAACACGCCTGTACATAGTTGTCATAATTATATTAATGCATAATATTACCTATTGTATGATACCTATTGATACCTATTGATACCCATTGTATCGTTTATTTATAATTTTTTTTGTTTTCGATTTGTCAAACACAGACACTACATCGTGGAACGTCACACCAACTGTATGCGGACGTACTATAATAGTTGTTACCGGTATATGTCCGAATTCGTGCGAGACGTCTTCTTGGGTTATTTACCACGGACCGAGAGCGCAAAAATCCTGTGCAACAATAACCGGCCATACAAGAAAGGTCAGTTTACACGTTAAAAATAACAATATAGTTCAAGAAAAGTGGAAAAACTGGAAAAATCTAATAAATATATTATACTCCGGCCCACGAGAGTCCATACGTAAAACCAGCGCATCGATATAGTAATAAGTGACGTCTGTTTTCTCCCACTATTCGGCAACGTGCCGATGCGCAGAGACGGACGCGTTTGGACATATTATGGAGTCTCGTGGGCCGGAGTATATGCATATTATAATACAATTTATATAAATCTCAATATTATAAGATAATATGGTAATACAGATTTGTTTAAATTTTTTATACAGTTATAAAAAATTAAATATTGGAGAATTTTGTTTTCGTTGTACGCTTATATATATATCATTATAATATTATGTTAGAAATGTATTGTACATCATGCCAGTTCTGTGCCCACTTTATCGACAGGCGCCTTCAACTATTGATATTCGGACTAAAACGCCCCCCCTACCCCCCCCCCCCCCCCTCTCTGGATAAATTTACCAACTATATTATAGTTATACTTTGATCGCAAGTACATATAATATTATTATTGGTAACATACAAAGTTATCTCATCAATCATTTATATACAACAGTTCGATAGAACGGTTCGATCGTTGTTCTAATATCATTTATAAATACGATATAGGTAACCTAGGTAACCTATATGCGGGTAACGTAAAAATATGATAAACAGTAAAGTTATAGTAGCCCATCTTACGTAATTATCTTACCTTATTAGAATGCAGGAGTGCTAAATTAAATTTCACTATACATATATCGTTATCATTGCAGAATTTAGAGAACACATGGCTTGCACTAGAGCAATGTTGAGTGCCGACGATGACTTCGAAGAATATATGATAGAATCCGAGATGCAGTACGGGCAACTGATAGAAGACATGGATACCAATGACAAGTGCGAGTGAGTCTTAGTTTTTTGTGTAATAATATAATATTAAAAGAATACACGAGGTGCTTGTTTTGTGCCGCAAAATTAATATTTTCATTTTAACGTATTGTGTTGATTTTGGAAATTATTTTCGACAGTGTTGTCAACTGTTTTTGGAGTGGGTTGATCACAAAAATTCGTAAACAATGCGGATCGAAGACCGAAAAGTTCTCTCGCCAAGTCCTCAGCAACCTGTGGCCCGTATCAATGTTGTCGGTCAGTATACTTGTATAACTATATTAATAATAATAATTCATATGAATTAGCTGGTTCTTACATCCGAATTCGTTGTTTTCAAACCGTATATATAATACAGCGTCTCTCAAACTGTGGTACTCGGCAACCTCACAGGTGGTACTCTAAGGAAATCTCCCTTCATAAAAAAATTAAATCGATCATTATTCACATTTAGGGGAATGGATACCGTAATTGTCCGTCTTTGTCCAACACACGAGCGACATAAGATTGTCTACTAATTTTACTCCAATCAGTCCAGCCATTCTATAGATGCAACAAAAATTTTGAAAATTAATTTGAATTCAGAGTGAAGACTACTTGAAAACTACTTTTTCAGTTATATTTAATAATATTTTTGAAACACTACCTACTACAAGATTTTATATTTTTCAAAAAATTTAAATCAAATTTGTGGAATTTTGAGGGAAAAAATATAAAAATGTAATCCAACCGATCTCAAGTAGTCTTTACGCTGAATTCAAATAAATGTTCAGAATTTTTATTGCATCAATACAACGATTGGACTGATTGAAGTAAAATTAGTAGAAAATCCTATGTCACTCGTGTGTTAGACAAAGACAGAAAATCACTGTATCCAATCCCCTTAAATATTATTTGTTTTATTAATAATATTCCACATTTTATTTTTTTTTCATCCATTAAATGCTTATATTATATCATAATTTTTTTAGTTCCTCATAAAATTCCATGCATGTAATAATATAAAATATATATTTTTTTATAAATAAAATAAAAAAAACTTTATTTGGTCAAGTGATTCATGACAATTTTCATATTGTGTAGGTGGATGTAAATATACACGAATGTAAACATTTTGAGAGCCGCTGTACAACATAAACATAATCATATATTATAGGTATGTACCTTTATGGCTATATGTATACTGTATATTATATAATATGTACTTATAGACAATTCAATTAAAAATATATTACCTACCTGGCTATCTAAATTTCAGAGGCGAAAATATGAGCCCCAATCGATTTCAAACAAGTGGTTTGACATTTGGTTTTTATACAAATATAATAGTATAATAATAATATACTTTATTATTATTTTATTATTAACTGTTTATCCTTATGTATATCCTAGTGTACAAATTCTATTTTTTTGTTTTTTTTCACCTTATTTGTGACCACTCTGTTTTTTTGTCTTAATTTCCGTGTAAATAAGATTTCAACTCTCTGTCTCCAACACAAGCATTGCTTAACGGAGATAGATAAATCGCTAGTACTCTTATAAAAATTATTTAATTATATTGTACACCTTGTGTTTTCGTTTCAATAAAAAAAAAATGGAATTTGTACACTTATATTATTGGAATAGCTTGACAGTGTTATATTATACGATAAACATTATTGTTTGTATCCATCGTGTGGGGACTGAGGAGTATAGGTAGGGCCGGATCTAGGGAGGGAAGTGGGGTATTTTCGTGGGTGTATTTTAAGTTTTTAAATTTGTAAATTGAAAATTGAAAATGAACTAATATGAAATAGATATGCAGTGCCGTGGAAATACCCGTCCGCAACTGTCAGAGGGAGTGACCATCATAGATTAATGTACCTACTCTCCGATAAGTGACATAATAAATTATGGTAAATGACATCGTTTTCTTGCATATAATATTATGTTATGTAGATAGTTATTTAAAACTTTATCTTAAAAATGGCACTTTTAATTGTAATTCATTGTTATGTAATTTCAAATTAACAACTATATATTTTTTCAAATAGGTACTGCATAGTGCTAACAGTTATGTACTACATCAAATGTTACTTAGGTACTACTGATTTCATTGTTTTCAGATTATTTATTAAATTACATGTTCGTAGGTTTATATAAAAGTCTTTATATTTAACAAATGAATTTTTACAAACTGAACTTTTTTATATATATCACCATGGCCGCTAGATAAATGAAAAAGATAAATATAATGATGAAAACATAGTTTGACATTTGTGTTCGCTTTTTAAATACAAATATACAACTAGACATTTTCTTGATAAACTTGATAGTACGAAAGTACAACATAATTAAATAATTAACATAAAACTACTATCATATTGATATGTAGTCCAAGTCAGATTGAAAATTATGTTTTACATATTATATTGAAATAATTTTTAAGGAAATTTATATTCATTTGGTTAGTTTTTTTTATCTAATTTATTTTTATAGTTCAAGATATCAAATAGACAACCGGGTTCTTATTATTTTGGAAATTTATAAAATGTAGCATGTAGAATGTAGATATTTTAGTATATACATTTAATCCATAAGTTATAATCCATGATAAAGTAAATTTCTTTATCATGTTATAATCATTATATTACAATTTTCAGTACATAATCACATTTTTGTTTCATCGTATTTTTTGTATGATGGTTTTTCGTAAAAAAATACTAATTCTGGAAATGTCCCTGAGATGGGCTTATTTTTTATAATTTTCCACGGGTGTCAAAAAGCTAAGTTCCGGCCCTGAGTATAGGTATACCTATTATCGATCATCTCGTTTATTTATATTGAACAACAGGTTTCTTCCACTGATCGGTGGCAGTGTAAGTCGGATGGGTGGGAGATGTATATTGTAGGTTTACCCTTTTTTTTGTCAGGCAGTGACATACATAAACTTATAAGTAAGTAGGTAGCGTATAATTATATATTCAAATTGTTTTATTTCGTTGCTATTCATAATATAATACCATCATTTTGCAATAATATATTAGTTAGTACAATATAACAGTGTCAAGTGATATGCCACATGGTTATGATATTTATGATCTAAAAACTCTAAAAAAAATGCATGCTACAAATACACACGACAATTAATATTAAATATGCGCTTAAAGCCTCAAAACAATTAAATATGACATTATAAAATGAACAATGTTCATAAACATCCTAACCTTAGCAGGTACTTAATAACCGTTTTAAACCAACGTTTTATTTCATTGCAGAAAGTATGCGGTCATTATTTGAACCGTGGACCAGTATGAAGATGTACAGTCCAAACAAAAAATTCCAATTTATTCATGGCGTCTGGTGGGCCAATCTTTTCAACATTTATATTATTATTGATTATCAATTAACGTTTTCTTTACTTAATTGTAATTTTTTTTTCAAATTAACTTTTTTTCCATTTTATACAAGAATACTAAAATTCGCTTAAATAATAAATTGACTTAAATAAAATATCATTGTTTTTTTCTTTTTGATTAAATTGTACCTATGTTAGATAAATATTGATTGCAGTCAATTCAACAAGACGTAGAAGTTGTTTGAAATTGTCTGCATATATAACGAGCCATAATGAATCGATGTAATAATCATAATCACATGCAATAAGGTTATCTTTAAAAGTTATGCAACCGTTTTCTTTGAAAAAAACCAATTTTTTTTTTGGAATATTGTTTTATACATAATTTTAACTGATGAAAAAACAAAACATTTTTTGTTTAATGACAGCATACATTTGTATTTGTTTATTCCAATGTGGAAATGTATATACAATGTACTTAACATAGGGCTACCCTGCAAAATGTTAATCTACTACTCAACTCATACCTTTAAGTTTTAACTAAGTAACTATATTATACTCTTTCGAAATACGATTTTTATACGTGTTAGTATAACTCTAAAAAATGTTATACTTAGGAATATTATGTAATTAAAAAATGTATGCTGTTATTAAAAACAATTTTGTGACGGTAAAAAATATTAAAAACATAATTTTTACAAGGTTAATAGGATTTAGGCAGGGTGTGCCGAGGTTAAAATCGTTTGAAAACCAATATGTTTATTTAGAATTATAATTGAAACACGGTTGAAATTGGGAACTTATTTCTGAGTCATATTTTTCGAGATCATTGCAGTTTTAACTTTTAAAACAATTAGTAGAATTCGGTATTAGCACCAGCTGCAGGTTTCCAATCTTCTGGTTTCCAATTAAAACCTTTAAATGTCGTGATAGTTTAAATTGAGTAAATACCCTATCGTGGTTCATATTATGATTTTATGGTTGCTGAATATGTGAACTGTTTCTAACGGCTGATGTAATATTATTAATACAGATCATAATATTTCATAATTATAACTTGACGTCACGAATATTATCAGGTTCGTTGTTGTAAAATTATAAGGTAATAAACAAGTATAATAAATTATATAAAATAGATAGTAAAAAATGCTTTAGGTTACCTATGTTTAGGTACAATGAGTGATGGACACCTAATGGCGAACCTTGCTTCTAAGCAATTCCCAAGGTAAAATTGTCCAAAATCAAAAACATCCGTCTTAAAATTGTCCAAAGTGTGTACTTAGCAAACTCTTTATTAGAAATTAAAAATAGGATAAATATACACATTAAAATATAGGTACATATTAAATATAACTAAAAATTTACTTACAACACTGATTGTATATTTATAAAAATATACAATTCATTTTTGTTTATTATTTAAAGTCATAATATAGTACATTGTAAACATTATAATACATCATTAAAAATTGTCTTTACCACATTACCGCTACTACTTGATTATAATTTATAACATTTGAAATAAAATTCAAAATTAATAATTGTTTGTTTTTTAAAAAAGAAGTCATATAAGAATTGTTATTTACACAAACACACATCTACTTGAAATTTATAAAAGTAAATGATGAATATTTCAAAAAAATTTTTAATAGTTCTGATTTCCATTATTGTTGTACTGCGTATTGTTTTATGGTAATAAGTAATAACCGTAAAGGATGTCAATAAATTACAAAGTAGGTACAAATATCTACAAGCATAGAGGTATTCACAGACTCGTGTAGACAATATACAATGTGTTTACAGTGCTTAAAAAGGATAACCAATGTTATCTGTAACATAATGTGTTTATAATTTATTCTATTTCAATATTTTATTTATTTATTTTTTTTTATTTAAAACAATGTTACCACTGACATTTTTGGTTTCTGCCTGTTTTTCGTCGGACATATTTTTAGACTACCTACCCTCAACGGAACTTGATAAAAAAAAGTTGTCAACGGAGCCTGTAAATCTCGATAAAAATAATAAGTTTTAAATTATTGCTCAGCTAATCAATATAGCCACGATATGGGTAGCGAAATTATATTAGAGAACATTATTATTCATTTAACACGTCTAACGTTTTAATAAACTGTAATATACTTTAACAAAATAACCGAAGGTATACCTGTAATATATTATGTCTGTATATATTATCAGAAATAGATGTTGATATTTTATTATCGAAATAAATAATAATATGCAAATGGAATATTCAAAAGCCGGATAAATGGACTTATTGTAGGTAATTTGCCTATCCATATCGCCGTGTGGTGAAATTCGTATAATTAAATGTGAAACACTTTATAACCATAAACAACACTACTTCGTGATAAACTACTGTTAAATTAATTGATAAATGGTACTAGATAAAAAAAAATTCGTCAGTATGCTTTTAGTTGTACGCGTTTATCCATGTTGGTATACGTCATTATAAAATAGAACGTCTTACTAAAACGTATTAAATTATTAAAAGAAAACGATTATGAAAAACAGTCGGTTAATATTATACGATATACAACTATAATCAAAAGGTATATTATTATTGCCATGTTCATAAAAAAAAAATATATGCTTTAATTTATGATAACGGATTTAAAATAAAGAGTGGAAAATAATCATTGGCTCGAATTATTTATGCTCATTTAAATCTGTATAATATAAGGTAGATATTTTAATGTTGTAGCCATACAATTTGTACATTAATGCAAAATACATATTCATCGAATCTTTAAGAACAACTGTCGGCTATTAATCCATATTTCTACATTTCTTCTCATATTTATCTGTACAATATAATATTGTCTAAAGTATATTATGTGGTTACAACTTATAAATCATAGTATTATAAGGCTTAAGAAAAATTCGAAAATTATCTTAATATATATTATTAATATTTAGTAATACTTAGAAATTTGCTAGAACCACGATAAAAGTAAAAAATAAATTTGGCGTGGTGGGATAAAGGTCTAAAATTAAAAGGTTTTCATTGCGCTCTAAACGGCTTGTAATAAATACAATAAAAAATATTACAAACCAATACAAAATTAATGATCGCGCGATATTGCAGTTAATTTGTTGAACTAAATAAATTAATAAATAGAGCTGTATAATATATATTCCTATGTCACAGCCACACGACTTAATCATCTTTGCAATTGGTTTATTTTGCTATAGTTTATGTAACATAAGGTTTACAAAATATCCGAAAATAAACATAATAAATATTATTCAAATTGAATAACCCTAGATAAATAAAATTCCTACGAACCACACTAAACGTAACAAAATAAGTTGGATGTTGTGGGATGAGTCTGAAATAGATAGTTTACCATTGTGCTCTGAATACCTTACAACAAATAAAATAATATGCAATATCACAAACTAAAAAAAAAAAAAACACCTGCACGTTTTAATGATCGCCCGAATTCGTTCATGTTTACACTAAGTATATATTTTTTTAAATGTTTAAACGTATAACATGTCACTACATAATATGTGTCACACATTTTTACATTATAATATAGTGCCCATGTATTTTAACTTTTTGTGTTACTTGTGATGTTAGCAAAGAAAACGAGAAAATGAAATTGAACAAAAGAGCATCGTATATTATTATAATATTATTTGTTATTGTTTAATTTAGGTAGGTACAACTGTCTTACCAGACTTTAACTTTTGTTTCAAATATCTATCACTTTATGCTATTGCAGTTAAAACGTACGTGCCACTGTGCCACTTAAAACTACAAAATATTATACTGGTCGTATTGTGTGCAATCATTCTCTAGAAAATGGAGTCTGTAGGGGTAAATTTTTTCCCTTGTCCAAAGATGTTGTATAGGTACAACTCCTCAAACGTCCACTATTCTGTCATTCCTACTTGATTTCCCATTCTGATATAATATTGGTTCTTGTTAATTTTTTAAGCGTTAAAGAGTGTGTTTGGTTATATTTTATTTTCATTAGTATCATTTATATTATGAAAAAATTGCTGTTCCTAATATTCAGGTGCAAATTTTTTTTTTCATGTATTGAATATTAAAACACATAATATAATTATCAGTTCTGACGAAATATTAAAATATTTAAGTAATATGTTATAATTATTAATGTTAAAATTATCTCTGTTTTTGTTTTAAGCCACAGAGTTTGATATCGTATCGATGTGTTGGTTGATTTCAATTAATAATCTCAACACACTTGTGGTACCTACAAATATGCGCACTTGCAATAACAGGAAACTAAGGTTATCTGACGAAAATTGCGGAAACCCGATTAGAAAAATACGTCCACACGACGACGTGTCCGTAATAGTAATAACAAAAATAGTTTATTTCTTAAAGAATTCTGCCTTGGCGAATAATAAACCGACTCGCCCCACCCCATTGGACTGCTGCTGTCAAGCACTCAAGCCGGTCAAAATAAAACCAGTCGAGGAAAACAGAAATCAGCAGAACCACCTTGGACGTGACTCGTGAGTATTCGAGGGACACGATCAGCTTCTCTACTTGGGTCATTGTCGAGTGCTGGATCAATATCGTCATTTTCTATTGAGTTTATTCTTAAATTTTTTTTTTTCAGAAATATTTTCCACAGCATTTACAACTCACATTGTAGATCACTGCAGCGATGACAAGTAAGAAACATAATGTTTTTTTTTTACTTATTAATATTTACCTGTCAATTATTGTTAAGAGGATGTCGGTGCACTATTTGTTTTCTCTTTCCGGGCCCGGATTTTCGATTTTATATTTTATTGTTATTTGACTTTGTATTCAACTTTCCAAATGCAAAAAAATAATTTTGTAAATTTAAAATATGTTTAAATTTTTTTGAGACGATATTTAGGCGAATCGATATCGTCATTTTTATGTCATTCACTCAAAAATATTATTCTCTATTTTATTTGTAATGGGTGATTTTACTCTAAGATTAATGAAAATCATAGTAAATTCGTTTTGTCCATGTTGAGCGTGAGCCAGAGAGGGAAAACAAATAGTGAGCTGACATCCTCTTAAGTTTATTATAATATTATTTTGAACGTCTTATTGTCGATTGATTATTGGATTAAATTGTAAAAAAAAAAAAACCACAACATTTGGATGACATTTGGAAGATAAATACACGTCTCATAAAAAAATATACCGCCAATAAAATATATAGGTAGTAAATACAAAATTGTACTTAAAAACATTTATTTCAGCGTTTTATATGAAGCCAGTATTAAATATATTTTGTATGAAGTAATGCAATTTAGATTTTGATCTGAGCGATTAATGTATTGATTTTAAAATGATTAGTGTTTTTTTTTCTGTGTTCAAGATAAGTAGGTAGTCAAAAAAATGCTTAAAAGTTCAACTTAAGTATTTTTTCCTGTGGGAAAATGAATCTAGTTGGTGAATTTGGGAGGTCAAATTTTAAAACTCTTGGTAGTTTTCAAAAGCACCTGAACTGTAGCTATACATTAAATTTTCACTGAACAAGCGTTCATATTAGTATTTTACTATTTAAATATTTGTCTATGAACCATAAGTAAAATATTTTACTTGTTTTGAACTACTTATGGACATATTTTTCAGTTTCCAATTTTTTAATTTTTTTATCTATAAATGTCAATAAAATGTATTTTATTCGTTGGGTCAAAAAGATTAAAAATTAAAAACAAGGTTCAGCGTAAGTAATTCGTACTGTAACCAGAAAATCTAAAATAATTTATACATAAACACAGTTTTTTGTATAATTATTTGAAGTGTTTAAGTTTGAACGAAAAAGAACGATTTTAGTTTTGTGTTATAATTTAAAAAATATTAATCGTGGGTTCTTCATACTTCTAAAGTACCTATATAGTATAATATACAAATAATATTAATTAAACTTACCGGCTAGGTACCGTTTTAATAATAATAATAATATAAATATAATATAAAATATAATTGGCTGACAAACCGTCTTAGCTCAAAATCGTTTTTCGTATACAATGTCATTATGTCATTGAATTCAAATTTAATACCGTCCACACTCAGTGGCCCACTAGTAACCTTCACTGTATGGCGACATCCACTTTTTTAAATTTATTTATATGCAAACAAAAACAATAGGTATTCCAATATTATTATACCAATTAATTGTTATATACGAGCCTCCTTTAAGAGGATGTCAGAGAACTATTTTTTTTTTTGTCTCTGGCCCATGCGCAACGTAGTCGAAACTCATTTAAGCAGAATAATTTTTTCTATGTTTTGAAGTAATCTTAGAGTAAAATCACAAATTACAAAAAAGATAAAATTGCTCTATAAAATGTAGAGAATATTATTTTTGAGGGAATGACATATCGATTTTATATTTTATTGTTATTCGACTTTAAAAACAAACAAAAAATGTTGTAAATTCAATTTATTTTTAAATTGTTTTGAGACAATATTTATACGTCAAATCGAGATATGTCATTGGTCATTCTCTCAAAAATATTATTCTCTATATTTTATAGAGCAAATTTCCATAGCAAATTTTACGATCAGCAGAACACGTGTAGCTCTGTTGGTTTAAAAATTAGAGTAAATTGACCTCTTATACAATTTCAAGCTAAGATTATTATCTAAAGCCCCACCTAGGATTTATAGATATCATTATTCTTAAGTTATGATGGTTTTAAAACGTACAGTTTAGTAAGGTCATAAGTCATTTAAAAAAAAATAATATAAATAAAAGACTACTTGGGGCCCTAGATAATAATCTCACATTTAAAGTTTATAAGAGGTCAATTCACTCTAATTTTTAAACCGACAGATCTACACGTGTCTTAAAATTCTCTATGTTACGCACTTGTAAGACGGAGACAACACGTGAGGGTATAACGTCCTATTAAGCTTGGCATGTGATAGAGGTTAGGAGTATTTTAAAAATTAAAATTGTTTTATGCTTTAATTACAAGCTTATCAGATAAAATACATAATATAATATTATACAAAATATAATAGATGCAGGTATATAAAAAAAAAAGAACACTTCAACAAGTTTAGAAACTGTTCTTAGAGTTCTCTGACTAATCATTTATAAAACAAAGAAAACAGTATTAGATTATCATGATAATTTTACTTTATCTTTTTTGTACCATATTGATTGATAAATTGATTAAATTTAATGTTTTAAAGATGTACATCACTCGACTGCGATATTAATTTTATAAGGCTGCAACATCTTAGTCCAAATGATTTTTTACTGTTAATTATAATATTATAATTATATATAAGCGATAAAAAAAAAAAAAAAAACAATTCTAAATAATATTATATATCATGTTACAGATATGTTGAACTTACTCTTCATAATCAGTGAGTATAATATCATTTTATTAATATATATATATACCTACACCTTATTATTATTTTTATAAAACTATATAACACAAACATATTATATTATGGTCGAATTTGCGATTCGTCTCTCGTGCGTCCATATAATGTTTTGTTATTATACTTGGCTCACAATATTTTCTTCTCCAGATATACAATTAATATTAATCAATATAATATAATATAATTATTCCTCTGTCCACAGGTACCTTGATGGTGTGTGTTAGATCCGATGATGCCTCTATCGAGTGGGCCTGCAAAGAGACCCGTGCAATTGGCAACTGCAGTACCATGCCAAAGATTACAGACTGGCTCCAAACGCTTTCCGATAACATTGATAATGAGGAATATACGGACTTACTCTATTGCCCGTCAGTATATATATAATATCTATACTATAGAATACAGTAATAAGAATAATAGTACCTATAGTATAAAGCGTATTCAAATATGGACCCGTTATTGAACAAAATTAACTCGAGTTATATAAGTTAAATCAACCTTATAAGAACGTTAAGTTATATTATGTTAGTGGTTAGCTTAATTATATAAATATCTTGTAAGTATGTCTAGTGAAGGTGGTAAGCATTTTCGATATGTTTTATTACTATTGCTGCGCGTAAGTGCGGGTTGACAGCAGAGAGCAGAGTGGAATTGACGATGACGATGATTCACGTTTGACGATGATTTATTCGTATCAGAAGTTATAATATGAACATGATATACCTAGGTATAACTATAGGTAACTCAGTGGCGTAGCCAGGATTTTTTTCGGGTGGGGGGGCTGATCAATTTTTACATTTTTAACACCTATAGTACATTTTTTAATATTTTAAATACAATTTAAGACTTTTTGAGAGACTACCATGGACCATTAAAATAATTTTTTTATTTTCTTAACATTTCGGTGGAGGATTTATAGAACATTAATATGCAACTTTTATTGCATAAATAAAGGTAATGGCTGCAGGGTCGATTCGTATTATTTATGCCAACAATATATTATATTATGATAAATAATAAGAATGATTTTGCGTGTCCATATCATTATACAATTCATTTGAAAAGTTGTTATGTCCAATAGTGTGCTATTGTAAAACGACACACGTCATAGCACTTGCCACTGGCTACAGCTTCAGTGGCGTGCGGCCAAGTCATTACAATTGGCTCGGTGCACCCGCCACTGGAGTTGAACGAATGACATTTTGACTCGTCTTTGCTTTGCGCAGTGTCAGTGATTTTCATTTACTATAATTCCGTATATATATTTATCCCTATTTTAATACTCATCTAGTACCTATAGTCATCTGATTTAATGCACCGATATTATTGTTAATGATTAGTCTTTTTGTGTTTCCGATTTGTCAAACACTGCAGATTCGATATCGTGGAAAAGCACGCCCAGTGTATGGTGTTGTACTTGAGGAGTTGTAGTCAGCAATTAATGATGGAGCCAACACGACAAATCGCCTTCTCGTATTTGCCACAAACCGAGAGAGCAGAGACTCACTGCAACAGACGCCGGTCATACAAGAAGGGTTAGTTTACACTACAAAAATTAAAACACATAGGTACCTGTAGTAGGTAGTGTAAGAATACAATGGAAAAATTCGAAAATAATAATATTTTATAACGCATCGTAATGCAGATATATTGAAAATTGTGTGCAGCAATAATACGCAATATTGCATCAGTTTTGTGTTGTCTTTGTACCTAAACTATAATGATTCGTGTCAGAAATTATATATGATAGGCGTAAGTAATTATTAATATTTTTACTTCTGTTTTATGTCTATATATTATGTTCATAAAAATGGCACCCCCCCCCCTCCCCGCGGAGTTTAAGTTATTGACTATATTATATAGTCACCTATATGAGCAGACCACTGATGGAATAAGTATAATTATTATAAATCGGTAGCTAAATTAACACTCGTCGGTCCAATAATATGTATAATGTGTAAACATAATAATATTATAGGTATAAAGGTCACGACGTTTCATAAGAATAATTCGTCGACGGTGCCTTCATAATAATTTCGTGTATACTTACGATAAAAAAAAAATATGATAAACAGTTATTGAAGCCCATCCATATGCCATATATGCTCATAGACCGGCCCATAACAAATACGTACCCAGTTCCGACATTTGGTGCAGCGATGCAGCCCGTTTAGTACCTTAAGTACCTATGAATATTATAATAATTCAGGCTCGAAACCGAAATTTTTTTTGATTTAGGTTATCGGTATCTATATTTTTTTCGATTTTGATTATAATAATTTCGTGTATACTTACGATAAAAAAATAAAAAAATATTTGATAAACAGTTATTGTAGCCTATCCATATGCCATATAATATGCTCATAGACCGGCCCATAACAAATGCGTACCCAGTTCCGACATTTGGTGCAGTGATGCAGCTCGTTTAGTACCTATGAATATTATAATAATTCAGGCTTGAAACCGAAATTTTTTTTCGATTTAGGTTATCGTTATCTAAATTTTTTTCGATTTCGATTATAATAATTTCGTGTATACTTACGATAAAAAAATAAAAAAAATATGATAAACAGTTATTGAAGCCCATCCATATGCCATAAATGCTCATAGACCTGCCCATAACAAATGCATACCCAGTTCCGACATTTGGTGCAGTGATGCAGCCCGTTTAGTACTTATGAATATTATAATAATTCAGGCTTGAAACCGAAATTTTTTTTGGATTTAGGTTATCAGTATCTATATTTTTTCCTATTTTGATTATTTTGATTATAATAATTGCGTGTGCCTATACGATAAAAAAAAATATGATGAACAGTTATTAAAGCCCATCCAAACCGAACATTTTTTTTCTATTTCAGTTATCGGTATTTATTTTTCCCGGTTTCGGCTTCGGACATCGGAATTTTTAAAAATTTTTTTTTTGATTTCGTTTTTGGTTTTGAATATCGATTTTTCTATTTTTTTCTATTTCAATTTGACTACACGATGGAAACTCTAAGGGGGTCGGTCTATTAGTAAAAGGTCTATGAGCCCATCTCACACAATATTATACGCCTTATCAGGAGTGCTCGATATTTAATTTCATTATGTCGTTATCAGAATTTAGAGGACACTCGAATTGCACGAAAGTAATGTATAACAACGAACCCCAGGAATGGGAGGTTCATATGGTAAATCAAGAGATAGAGTTTGGACTGCTGTCAAAGAGAATGGAGTTCAGCAAGAAATGCGAGTGAGTCTCAGTTTGTCATGTAATCTTATAATATTAAATTAAAATATAATACTCACGGTTCATATTTTGTACCGCACAATCGATATTTTTGTTTTATAATATTCTGTTGATTTATCGAGATTAATTTTCCACAGCGTTTATCACAAATATTGGGAGATGCAGAGCTCGTGGATTCTCAAGGAATGCGGAGCGAGTACAGAAAAGTTTTCCCGCCAAGTGCTCAGCAATATGTATCCTATAATGGGATTGTTGGTCAGTATAACTATAGCAGTTGATATAAATATAATAATAATTTACATTAATATTAGGTACGTCCAAATTCGTTGTTTTCAAACCGTATTAGTGTATTGAATATATATTTGGTACATAAAAATTAAAAGCCGGAGGTGAAAAAATTAACCAATTTTAAACTTTTGGTTCGACCTTTACAGTGTTCTATACAATATAATAATATGAGCATTCGAGATTTCACACTGTTTGAAACATTAATTTATTACTTTATTATTTATTATTTAATCTTTCTTAAGAAATTTGGTTACTTATATGGTATTAGGTACTTATAGCTATGGGTGGTTACGATACAAATTATTGTTTATGTCTATTGTGAAGAGAATTTCGTTTATTTATAATATGGAAAACGGATTTTAAGATGTGAGATTTATACCTATTGTAGGTTTACTCTTTTTTTTTGTTAGTAACATTTTTTAACAGTTGTACACATTATAAAAAAGAGCATATAATTATATATTCAAATTGTTTTATAGCAATGCTATATCATAATATAACACCTCTCATTTTCCAATATATTAGTTTATACTTTATAGTTAGTACAATAACAGAGTTAAGTGATAACTGTATGCCATATAGTTAGGATGTATATGGCCTTAAAGTCTCTAAAAACAATATATGCAAATAGGTATATCAAACAAATATTGAGGCTCAAATCCTTCAAATAATTAAATATAATATTATAAAATGAGGAATATTCATAAACGTCCTAAATTCCTAACCATCTAGTACCTAATAACTGTTTAAACTAACGTTTTATTTCATTTCAGAACATGTGCGGCGAACGGCTGACTCCTTATGGATATTTCGAAACATGAATGACGGCTTCAAATCCCAAATTTTCAAATTCATATTATAGTATACTAATAGCATTATCGATTTTTAATTCATTTTTAAAGATTATTAATTCAAATTTAATTGAAATTTTTTTTTCCACTTTATAAAAACAATGTAATTCGCTTGAGAATATACTGACTAATATCTATTATTATTATTTTGTTAGTTGTTACATTATATAATAAATATTTATTGAGGTCAATCCAACAAATTTATTTTGTTTGTAATTGATTAGAACGAGCCATAATGAATCTATCTAATAATCATAATAATTTAAGCAAATAGTTGATATTTTAAAGTTAAAACACTCATTTTCTTAAGAAAAACTAACTTTATTTGGAATATATTTTACCAACAATTAATACATAATTTTAAAATAATGAAATTAACATTATTTCATTTTAATGACAGTATACATTTTTATTTGTTTATTCCAATGTACCTGGCACAGGAATAGCCTGCAAAATTATGTAAATTCACTGCTCTGCTCGGAGCTTTAAGTTTCGACTAAGTAACTACTCTTTCGAAATATGACTTTTAAACATTTTATTACAATTCTAATAAATATTATGATTATGAAAATTAAATTAAAAACGTATGCTGTTATTAAAAAAAATTAAATTAATTATTACGACTAAAAATATAAAACATAATTTTTTAATAAAGTTGATAGGACTTAGGCGTTTGTGTGTCGAGGTTAAAATGATTTAAAATACTATATTTTATTTAGATCTATATTTGAAACACCATTGAACATTTTTTTTAATAATTTACTGTTACCAAATAATTTAATTTTTTAGACATGTTTATCGAGATTATTCCATGATTAACTTATAAAACAATTACTAGAAATTGCGGATAAGCACCTGCATGTTTACAATAAAAAACTTAAAATGTCATAGTAGTTTTCAACTAAGTAAAAATTATGGCCCATATGATTTTATGGGTGCTGAATCCATGAACGGTTTCTAACGGCTGTTATATCATTACAATGCAATCATAATAGTTTATTATTTTTAAATTAAAGTCTCGAATATTATCGGATTTGTTATTGTAAAAATACAAGGTAATCGGGGAATACCTGGATAAAAAAAAATCGTTTAGGGTAAATATGTATAATTATAATGAGCGATGAACACTCGATAGCACCATTCCGTAAATGTTATTAAAATAACGTTTTAAATTATTGCACAATATAAATTAATGAAAAGAATGAATTTAAATTGAATTTAAAATTAAAATTAATATTATATTCGAGAAAGCTATATAGGTAACAAATTATATTATAGAGAATATTATTTTACTTAACACTTCTAACATTTTAATAAATGGTCGTATAATTTAACAACATAAACTTATACAAATTCTATATAATTTTTTTTGTATATTTACGGAAATAGATGTTGACATTTTATAATCGAAATGCATGATCAAAGTGAAAATTACTCAAATACCGGATAAATGAACATAATGTAGGTAATTTGCCTATCCATATCGCCGTGTGTTGAAAATTGTATGATTAAAAGTGGAACACTTCATAAAATATATAAATAATACTACTTCGTGATAAACTGTTAAATTAATTCATAAACGGTACAAGATGAAAAAATTTGTTAGCATGATTTTAGTTTCATGTATGTTGGTATACATTATTATGAAATAGAACGTTTTATTAAAATGCATTAAATTATTGAAAAAAAAAACGATTATGAAAAACAGTTAGTTCATGTGATACAATATACAACTATAATCACAAGGTAAATTTAATTTTTTTTTAATAATCTTATTATAAGATGTTCCTGGCCTAGGCTATCTACGTCTATGGGTATATTATGTACGGATTTGTGTTTTGACTATTTTAACATGATAAAATAATATTAATGGTGGTTATACAATAAGAAGATAATAATAGTAATTATATGTTAATAACTATAGTTCAGAATAAAGTAATAAAATAAATAATAATATAAATGTCTGTTAACATAATATGTTGGACTTTTATCCGAGTGCGAATAGTTAACTAAGAAACAAGGTATATTATTATTTTCATATATTCATATAAAGCATTTAATATACTTCAATTATAATATTATGGGTTTAAAATAAAGAGTGGACAATAATCATTGAAATCATTTATTTAAAATTACAAAAAAATACCTCACTTAGAAGGTAGAATTAGTGTATATAAGATAGATATTTCAATATATTAAATATTTTGAATAACACTGAATAAATACAATTTCTATGAACCACACTAAACGTAAAAAATAAATTGAACCTCGTGGGATAAGTCTGAAATAGAAAGTTTATCACTGTGCTCTGAATGCATCATATTAAATGAAATAATATTATGCAATATCACAAACTCAAAATATCAACACGTCAATGATCGTTCGATTTTATTCATATTTAAAATTTTAAACAAATTACCCATTCACATATTTTTTAAATGTTTAAACATATAACATGGTATTATATGTTTCATAAATTTTAACCGTATAACTTAAAGATAGAGTGCAAAAATTATGGACTGTACAATTTTAACCTGTACACACCTATCTGTATTATGTTTTTGCAAATACTAAACTTAATGTATGTCATCAATGTAAAATATTCTTTAATAATGTTTTATAATATTCACATAATATTTTTATAATTAATTGAAAGTTTTATTTGTAAAATAAAATAAATGACCCACTGTTTTGCACTTAATAAATTAAACAACATAATACATTTGCTAATATAGCCAAATAGGGGCAATTGTAAATTTCACCTATTGTACGTTTGTTTTGTATGTAAATTCTATTGGTACGATTTATTGGCCGTCAAAATAATGTAAATCCCACTGGTTCTAACTTTTTACCTGTGAAATAAATTAAATTCAATCAATATTATTTTTTAATTTTAAGTTAAAACTAAATTTGATTATAATTATAGATTATTTCTCTCAATTTAATGCTAAAATTAATTAATATACTACATGTCCAATAAATGCACAGGATATCATTTTTGTTGTTTAAATCTTTGATTTTTTTTTAAATAATATTGGTGGAATTTATAATGTATATGTTATAAATCCGACCATAAATTTGGTGAAGTTAGCATGCACCTCCTTATAGAGACCTCTATATCATAATATATAAATGTATAAGAATGTATTTTATCACCATTATGAATTTAAATTTAATAGAATTTTAGTTTGGATACCTGATTATATGAAACATAATTTATCTTTTGTCTCCAGTCAGTCAATTTATATGAACTACCCCATCATTAAAACGATCAATTAATACCCTTTTTGTATTCATACGACAGAAAATAGTATACAGTAAGTTTTTTTTTTTAAACATTTTAAACATTTACATTAATATTGTCGTTTAATAGGAAAGAAAGTACTACTTAATGATATTCTTTTGTTATAATAAGACCATATTTTTGTATTTATTTGTCAAATATTTTTATAAATTAATTTAGATTATTCACTGATATTAAATTACATTTCCAGGTCACTTAGTACGGTCATGCATAGAAAGTGCGAAACGCGGACATTTTGTACGGTCGAGTGAGAATGTTCATTTTAATTTTTAGAACGCGGACACAAATTTGTACTATTATATACATAGAGTATCTATTATAAATATAAGTTATATACCTAATATAAGTAGTATAATATATAATATAAATTATTAAAAGAGAAAATTTAAAAATAAAAACTAAATTGTTATAAAATATTGTATATTAATAATAACCAAAATGATCAAACAGTCAATATGATGATAAATCTAAATTGTATTATATTATTAAAAATGTGTACAATATAAATATGTCAAAATGACGAATAAAATATAATATTTAAAAAATCTTTAAAAACTACATGTATAGTATAATATGAAAACATCTCAAAATCACAAATAGAATATAATATTACATATATTTACAATATATACCTTAGGAGGGCTGGATTAATTTTCGGTTGAAAACAGCTCGCGGCTTCAATCACTACGCTCAATATAATGTTCTGATATTAATTTTGAAAGCAGATTTGAATTCGTCGCTAAATTATCTATGCTTAGAAAATTTCATTTCTCTGATTTAAATTTTTTTTTTACTTAGAAATTTACTAACAAAAATAGTGAAAATAGATAATATTCATAATTCAAATTAAAATACATTGATATAGAATATGAGAAATGTACGACAGTCAAAGCATAGTAAATTTAGAGGAGAATTCAAATCTGCTGTCAAAATCTAAATAGGAACATCCTACTGGCTACTGAGGAAGTGATTTGTAGTGATTGAAGTCACTGGTAGTGTTTTTTGAAAAAAAAAATGTTTGTAATTTTATAAAGTAGTATGTGATGACATGTGCATGCGCGTAGGTAAAATGAAGGACGTATTATGACGTATTATTCGAAACCAATAATACCAATACAGCAATAAATATTTTTAATAATAATATATTACACAATTAATAACTCTATTGTATCTAAGTCCCAATCATGTAAGAAAAATCGTAAGATAAAACCATGGATTACCAATGGTCTTGTGACATCAGTAAAAAATAGAGATAAGCTTAATATGAAAATTAAAAAGGATACTTCAAATAATAAATTGATAAACTATTACAAAGATAATAGAAATAAATTAACAATACTCATTCGTAAGGCTAAAGAACAATATTATGTCAACAAAATAGAAATATGTAATGGTGATGGAAGAGAAATCTGGAAAGTTATTAATGAACTATCGGGGAGAAAAATTAAATCTACCGGGCTACCAATCAATGAAATAAGAAAGGACATATATCCGACCTATAGGCCTAAAGACTACTTAAACATAGTAAATTCTTACTTCTCTACCACCAGAAATAGACTAGTTGATACCAATTTTCCTAATAGTACAAATAATATAAAATCTAATTTCGGAACAAATACTAATAATAAATCCAATCATCAGCTCCAACTTCGAGTCAAAAACCATGGGCAGTTACGTAGTAAAAAATATATTAAACAATCTGAAAAACAACTCATCACCTGGAGTTGATGGTTATATATAGCACTATTTTTTAAACAAACTATTTACATTCTGTAATCTTAAGTTTTACCGGACAGTACAAAGTTTCCGCGTTCTGCAATCCAAATTTTTACCCGACAGTACAATTATAGTGTCCGAGTTATGCGTTTTGAACAATTTACCGTACAAAGTGACTTGTTCACCTAAATTACGATCACAAAATATATCTATTGAGTTTCATGACACTTGACTGTTCATCGGAATATCATATTTTTCCTGCATCGGAGAGATTACCAAATCCAGGAGATCAGGACCACGGTCGAGGACAAAGATTTGATTTATGCTAATAATAGTACCACCAAATAATAGTTAACAATAACCCAATATTCGCCAAACAGAAGTGTGTCCGAAAACGAGATGGACACGACGGTGGCCGTTCCGAGGGGCGTCACACTGGTCATTATACCTAACGTGCATTTTTTGAACCATTTTTCCTCAGGGGTTCCTTGGGGGGTTTAAGTGTTTTATGTAATATAGTACCAATATTATGTATATTTATGCGTGCAGCTGGTGTTACAATTGTTTAATAATAATATATTATAATACTCTCTGTTATTGTACAGGTACGTTTGCACGCAGAGAACGATTTCGTTTATTTATTTCCATTCGAACCGCGTGACAAATGTCTCGACAGGAGACGTAAACGTTTTGGATATTACGCTCTATGTTGGTGCAGATGTGTCGACAGAGTAATACCATTGAGTATAATATAATATACTAATATAATATCTATACTCAATTTTAATGCGTAATACATAGATATAGGTATTGTAATGGAGCCATATTGTATAATATTTTATTGTACCTGCGTGGTGAGAATATAATAATATATTATATTAAACTATTAAAGCTTTATACTGCACTATTTCTTTCTTTTCTACATAATATATCGTAACCGAATTCTTCAATATTTAAATCGAATAAATGTCAATGGCTACAACGCGCATGAAATATTATTTTTACATATATAAAATATTTAATATTAATGTATCAAAATACATGATGTGTCTGTGTGTGTGTGTGTGTACGATTCACTGTACAGGGTGTTTCTCCAAGTATTGGGTAACCCCCAACTTTTTCAGTAAATAATTAAAAATATTCTAATATTATGATTTTCGGATTCTGTATATTATGCAGCTTAATAAAAGTGTTTTGGGTCGATTATATAAAAATGTTTATTCAAATGTGAACTGCACTTTTGAATTGTAAAAAGATTTTTGATTGAAATTTGAACAATTTATAGTTTCTGAATATCTTCGTATACTGTATAAGGAAAATATTCTACTATGGTAATCGTATATAGGTTTAAAGATGTATGACGTGCATTTGTGATTTGAAAATTATGGTAGATAATATTATTAATGTATATTACCACTTTGTGTTAGTTGTAAAAATTGTATAATTGAGTATAATAAATACTACCTAAGACCTACCTATACTAAATATTATAACTTAAAATAATTACTAAAGTTTTTTTTTTCCTTAGTACATAAAGTTTACTAACTCGTTTAGACGTTCAGACTTTAGAGCTTAATATGCATTAACATTGAGCGCTTAAACAAAAGTAATCTGTAATCTGCTCAACAATCACCCCACATAAGGGGTGGTTATTATTTGAAAAAAAGAAGTTTATACTGCCGAATTACACACATTAACGTGTCTAAAAACTCAAATATGGTCTTTAAGTATAGGTACCTACTTGAAGCTTGAAAAAAATCCATATCCGTTGAACAGAAAGTAGTGCTCATGATGACTAGGTACCTATAAATTGTATATTTAGGGTTTCAAAATGTCATGAAAATAATTTTTTGTGAAAATCGATACAACATAATTAATGCACTAGATTAATTTTGAAGTTATAAATTGTATACAGGACAATAGATCTAAGAGTCTTAACATCCATAGTAATAAAATATTATATTAATATCCATTTTCATTGAAATTAATGAGATGCGTAGGTAGCTTATTATTATATATTATTATTATTATATTAGATAATAGCCACCATTAAAAATGAGATTGTTCCGTTGTTAGATTTCATATTTCCATACCAACTTAGTACTTGTACAGAAAATATTCGAACAACAACAAAAGATTCTTCACACGCACTCAAGTATAAATTCAAGAGATGATTTTTAAGAAATCGAAAAAAAAGTTTTAAAGAAGTTCAAATATTGATTGTATTACTTACCTTTATTTACCTATACTTTTGCAATAAATCGAATTTTTTCTGTCGCCTGAATGATGATTTATCATTTTCACAGTGGTAATATTGCTTAGGTTGCTTAACGATAATACTTGAAAATAATTTTTATAATGATATTATAATTGTTTACCTTTTCATCACATGATTTAAAAAGTAAAAAATCACAAATTGATCGGTGTAGAGTGCTTTCTACAAGTTAAGATAACCACTCTGTATATTCGCATTTCTCAGAATTTACTGTACAAATTGAGTACTTTAAATCTTACATCTCTCATATCGAAATATAGACATTTCCCTAAAACGAATATTTTATATATTGTGTCATAATATAATATAATATATCAAATTGTGCACTAATAGTATATAATATAATATCTATATAGAATAAAGTATGCCTAACAATTGCTACACATCAATCCTAATGGCGTTTTGCTATCAAAATATATTACTGCGGTAGATGGCACTTAACAGATATAATTTTTCAAACTGTCCATTAAGTATCAAATAACTTCTGATATATGATTGGAGTAAAATTAAAAATAATAAGATAGTAGGTACATAGAAAAATAGCAAAGTTACATTACATCTAAATAGTTTTTTTTTAAATATAAATAATATTATATATAAATAAATATATACCTTCCGCTATAATAACTAAATATTAATAATTAATAACTCGCAATATTATTATAACTCGTGCGCTTGTTTCATGGACATCAACCACCTTTCGGGGGCCGATTATATTCGAGTTTAAACCGTCGTCGTTTTTCTATCGCGTGCAATAGTTTGAATAATAGTAGAGCAATTCGCAACGTGTGCATAATATAACGTCACGATAATAATATTATAATATTATGTCCGAGAAACGAAAAGATCGCTACCATCTATCGCCCGTGACATTTCGAACGCGGAAAATCAGATAATCGGATCATATGTACATAATATTATAATATTTATTTTATTAAATCGAACAAGCTGCAGCGAATATCATTAGCTGCGTGGACGACGACTAAATGCTGAACCATATAATATATACACTCTCTCCACACATACGACGGCGGTACATATAGTTCGAGCACGTCCATTATTTTAATATAATATATATATATAATAATATGTAGGTCCCTATATATTTTAATTTGCATGCGTTTAACAAACGGTAAACTCGAGTGTTTTTAGCAGCCCATATTATATTATAATATGTACTATGTATATGTATAGGAGCTGAGTAGTGGTTTCTTTACATAAGTATTCATAATATGTACGTGAAACCGATCAAAATCGAAAGAAATAACCGTTTGACGATCGTCGGTTGTTCAATAATTTAATAGGTACACAATATGCGTACATTATAATATTATGCTTTATACTATATTTTATCGTCTGAGCGCGTTTATTAATTGTATTATTATTGCGGTATTCCTGTGTATCGTATAATATTATTATCATCGGGACGCATCGACGCGGAAAAAACAAACGATTTTCTGTTTTTATTTTATTATTTTCGATCGGTTTTTTATCTCTCACTCACTCTATTTTTCTCCCTCTCTCTCTATTTATATACCCGCATGTATAAATGTGTAATGCAAGTTTATAATGTATTATATATATAGTCTCTGGAGGATCCTCCTCGATTTTGGTTGGTATATAAACACTGCAGTCTATCATATTATATACACCTAAATCGATTCATATAATATTATATGCATTACAGGTAATAGGTAGGTAGTTATAATACCTATATATTGGTATACACTGAGTGGATCCTAAAACAAAAAACGGCAGATATATAATATATAATGTGTGCGAGCATAACAATGGTCCGAGGGACGGTGTGATAAAAGCCCATAAACCCAATCGGCAGCACTTAGTGCCTTTATCTACCCGCAGCAGAAACAGCATCACCTCCGTCATAATATTGGAATCAGCCTATTATCAAACATACGAGAGTGATATCGTTCGCACAATACAGTTAACTGAAACTCGAGCGTATTAAATAATTTATTATTATATTTTCCCGATTCAGTGGTCAGAAAAAAAATTCCCAGGGCAGTTTATTTGATGCTACTCGTCTGTGCACGCCTTTAGGATATCTCGAAGCCGGTAAATGTTCTTAATATTTGAGCCAAATCGTCACCTAGGTGCAGGCTGCTACAGTTAAGTCTAAAGTCTGCCATTTCTCTCATATAACACTCAGTTTAATATTTGTACCAAACTATTATTGAATTATACGAAGTTGTTATATTATATAACTATATTAGTACATTATTTTAACTATATTTTTAACTATATTAATTAAAGAAAAAACATTATGAAACATTATGTAGGTATATAATTATATAGGGCGTAGTATAAATATTTTGTAATTATTAAGAATTTTTATATCAACAGGGAAATGTTAATTGGTTGGCTCTTATTTACACTCAGACTATACATGTACGCTACTACAATGTAGTATGCGTATCTAGGTAATAGGTATATATTTGATACTTTTAATCAGAAGGTGTTCAATATAGCTAAAAGTTAGTGTTATGTGCTACGGCCTATACTGTTGGCATCAGCTTATTTTTATGTAAAATGCCTAAAGTAATAGAAACAATGTAGTCGCTTACTCGCCTACATTGCATATATGTTACAGAGTTCGTAAAATCAGTGTTTTTTTTAATTGATATATCATTTTTGTAGACTTTGTATAGAGTCAGAATTAGTGGCGAATGTTGTTTAGCTGTCTTATTACGACTTGAAATCGAAGCATATAATATAT